CTTTGCTTACAATGGTGCTACATTTGTGCTCCCATTTTGTATTATCCTTCACCTTCATTCCTTCATTGTCTTCATGGGTTTTGTGATTAAAGCTGTAAATAGATCCACGCTTCAACTCCTTTTCCTTCCACAATTAAACCGGATCTCTGTAGCGCTTTCGGGTTAGTAACAATGATAGCCGTTTTACAAGGCTGTGGTCACATATTTAGGATTAATTCAATAAATAGCCATAAATGCATTGGTATTTTTTGTGTGAATGTCTGACTGTATAGCGCCACCTCTACCATTTGAGCCATCGGCGTGATTGTAAATTTTAATTACTTTCAATTAATGTCTTGCTGTAAAGGTGACTTTGGTGAACGTGTTCAGAATAATCCTGAGATTCAGAGTGGACTCCAGCCAAAAAAAATGTTTTAGTTTATCATCAAAATAATTCTCTTTTACTGCAGTCACAACAGCATCACATTGACATCGTTAAAGGTATAGTATACTGTAAAATTAAAATGTTAGCAAATTTGCGAGCCTTTTGAGAAGGAGATTTTCAATGAATTTGTTGATCCAGTTCTTAAAACTGGGCTGAATGATTTGTTCAGCATCGTTTCTCAACTCACTGATTCGGTCACAGCAGTTAGCGAGTAAAAAAAAAAAAAAGTATTTTGTGTCCTTTTTGAATTTTGACAACTTTAGTATCATTTAATTGTATAGTAACTGTGTTTAAAAGAGTGAACAGTATTCACAATTCTCTACAGAGGTCTGGAATGACTTGAGGATGATTAAATGATGACATTTTTCATTTTGTTGGTCGAACTATCCCTTTATAAGAGCAGAATCTCTGATCTGTGATGTGCGCGTTGAGTCCCTGAGTGTGCAGTACATCAGAAAGGACCCTCATTTCTCCTGTCATTGACTTCTCTTATGTTTTATCTCAGTGGCGGCTGCTGCTTTTGCCCATTTTCCTGCCAGTGGTTTTCGGCTTCATTTGCCGCTCTAATGAAGATTTAGAGGCTCTGGGGTCTCTGACAGAAAAAGAGAGAGAGAGCAGAAAAGAAAGATAGAACAAGTAAAAATGCTGATGAAAATGTATAAGAGAGACTGAACTCAGGATGAGAACCGAACCCAGATGGAAAAACAGTGCTAAGAAACAGCATCCCATCTGAAGGACGTCCACATCATGAGCCAAAATGCCAAATTACAGTGTTCTGCTCAAATTAAAAGTTAGATTGGTGTAAGAATGAAGTTCATGAAGTGCAACCAACAAATCGCACAAGGTCTAATTGTGAATTTGAATGAATTCCCAATGTGAACATGGTCTTATTTATCTTATTTATTCATTGTATACTGGATACCTTACTCAGGGTAGACATCATATTGAATTTAATATGGATGAAAACGAGGCTGTGAGAGTTAGACTTTAGAGCTGCTGTCTTTCTTTCTTTCTTTCTTCTTTCTTAGTTGATTAATCCCTACCAATAATTAATAACTGGAAGTCTGCCATACATTTTATTCAAACATATTTTCTGTTCAGTTGCCTTTTTTTTATACTGTAGTTATGCAACTGTACATGGTATGATAACCCTCAATTTTCATACCATGTTGTTTCGGCTCAAACAGACTTATTTTTTACAATGGCGCACACTGGATAAATATCCTAGAACACATGCAATTTTCAAAATTCACAACATTTCAAACAGTTTGGGGTTAAATTGCAAACTGTTTACTGTTTTATTTTTACGGTTAGGTTTTCTTTGGGGGGAAATAAATTTCATCAGCTGAACAACTGGCATGAACACACTGTACTAATGTCCCTTTATAGCCTTGTTTCCATTCCTGTAAGAAATTAAATAT